CTTTCTACTGATAAACCCCAAACGAGGACGTAACAGAGATTCAGTACCCCCTTGGTTTTCAGTTCGTGAACAAACTTGAAGCCAATCAAATCCCCACAAATGGACAATTGAAAATGAAACAGTATTAATGTTAGTGGGTGATAAATGAAGGTGAAATTAAAATCTGGTTGGCAGCAGTAATTCAACCCAGAGGTCTCTGAACTATGCGTAGTTCAGCTTTCTACCAGCTCAGCTATGAAATCCAGCTGCTCATCAGGTCACAGAGGCGGAATGCCAAGCTGCATTGTGAATTGTGAATGATACGTTACTGTTCGTTTTACGTTACTATGGCTGTCCAGATAGGTCTTCTCCTATCAGTCGTAATCGCACTGAATTACAAGGAGACGAGCAGGTTGCTAATTTCTGGTGAGACGGTGATTGATTTAATGGGTAATGACTGAAGATGAAATGGAAATCTAGGTCGCAAAAGAATTGGAATAAATAACCTCCGAATTACCAGTCTATCTATTGCTAGTATTATTTATTGGATTCTGTTCTGAACACATATTATCGTTCATAATCATATCGAATGTAATTGGACATCTTTGAAACCTGAATTTTATATTTCTCGTCCTTCTCATATTATGGTTTTTCTTAAAAAACTGTAGAAAAACTGTAGATATCCGAAAAGTGTTAAATTATTCGTCGTTGTTGAACGTCTTCTCAGTCGTCTCCATAAACAAAGCCCAAAGTGTTAATTCATAGAGATTTGACTGGTTTCAAGTTAGAGAATCATTCGAAACCAGGGTGTCCTAGTATGGGACTTTTCAGCAGTACATGCCCATGTCCTCTGGACCTTCAGGTTATGAGGTTACTTCGGTGACCATGTGATCGAACTTGAAGTCAGGCAATTCCCTACAAACTAATGCTTAAACATTAATCTGGTACTCATTAGTGACTACTGACGACAGGTCGAAGCCGCCTGAACTCCTAGTGAGAAGTCGTGACCAATGGGGGGGTCCACCAAGTCGTGTGTAAGGTCAAATACTTGCCAATGACATTAGCTGGCGGTGTGGGGCTAGGAATCACGAACTGACAAAAGTTAGAACTCATTGACTGACTAGTCATTAGATTCCATCCCAGTGATGGAATGGTCGACAAGCTCACCTTGTAACCTGAAGGTTCTGGATTCGATCCCAGGTAGGGTCACATGTGCGCACTCATGAAGAGTTCCAAACTGGGACGAAACAGTGGTTCTCTAGCTGTTTTCAATCCATGATCGAATTTGAAGTAAAGCTTCGGTTGGTTATCAATTTCTTCAACCCTTTCTTCAAATAAGGCTTATACTAAAATAGTTTTCGATGAGGTTCTAATACTTCATCTTTCTATTAGTCATCGTTTTAGAAAATGAGTACATAATGTAGTGAATTTGTTTTTCCTAAAATGTGTTTCTCCTTTATTGTATACATTTAATAGTAATAGTAGTTCAGTGGATGATGCGCTCACTAACTCCTTCTCTCTTTCTCCCTTCCCCCCACACACACTGGATTTTATCATTGCGATAGTTAACTTAAAACGCTTTAAATGCATTTCTGATTCCCATTAAACTCTGATACTTTGTCATAAATGAATTTTATGTTAACTCGGATAAGATCTCTGCAATTTTAATCTCACTTTAGGAGATATTTATACAAAGTTTACGGCTTGTTTTTTTCGTCTTCTATTTTTTATTTTAAAGAGTCATGAGATATTTAAAACTTATTGTTTGAAAATTTCAGATTCATTTCTTTCTTCAATGAAATGCATATATGTTCAAATATTCGCTTATTTTTTAAAATTTTTTTTCCTTCACGTTCCCCAGTGGGACATAGGGCCTCAAGCTAGTGGCTTGAAGTTTCTGTAGCAGTGTTTATTTCACAGGATGGGGTTGCTAACCTCATGCCCAACCTTTCCTCTTCACCAGCATTATTTCTGGCTTAGCGAGGTCAAGGAGTGCGTCGGCTGGGGGTCGAACCCCGGACCATGTGCATGGTCGTTTATTTTACTTAATATAAATAGTTATTAGATAATTTAAAAACTTTGTTACAATGTATAGTAACTCCCTGACAGGGGAAATTTTCATCTTTAGTGTAAGTGTATCTGGATAACAGCTTGCAAGCTAATCACAGTAACTTACATCGGTAGGATGATGATTCTTTTTTCTATGATTAGTCATTTGTCATTGAGATTAGAATTTCATGATTTTCATTCCATGTAGGTTGAGTTGAAAGGGTCTAAAAGTAATTTCAATTCTGGATGGTGGTCAACTTTTCATTTATGTACACTGTAGACTTTAACCTTTGCTTATTGACAGACTATTCCTGCCGTCCAAACATATTTGTATATATGAAACCAAAATAATCCAGTGTTCTTTTGAGATTTAAAAAACCAGCTCTTAAATATTTTTTATCAGAATGTTATTGTCTACTGAAGTGTGATTTGGTCAAAAGTTTCATAGGATATTTTCTTCTTGCATTTCTTTTTTACCAAAGCTGTGGATTTCTTCTAACAAAACCAGTAGTCACCTGGGGTTCTAGTGGGAAGTCGTGACCAGTAGGGTGCAGCAAGTCGGGTGTGAGGGCAAAATACTCGCCGAATTGGTAGAAGTTGGAATTCATGGCCTGGCCATTGGATCGAGTTCCAATGGCTTAATGGTCTACGAGCTTTCCTTGTGATCAGAAGATCCCGGTTTCGAACAGTAGTGGTGGGTGTGTGCTGTGAAGAATCCCAAACTAGGACAGCGGAAACAGCTGTCCAGTACTCCCAGGTTATTCAATGGTTCTCTAACTGATGTCAGCTCATGATGAAATCCTGTAACTAAAACCGGAAGGATAATTTGCAATCAAATCTTCGATCAAATGAACTAAACGTTGTAGTTAAACGTAAAAATCGGAAACACTAGATTCGTCCAAGATACGGTTCTGTTTTACAAGTAAGAATAATGAATGAAATTAACAAACCTCGAATTATGAAGTATCTTGAGTGAATGCCATCAAAACAAGTATCACTGTGTTTCGATAAGAAAATAGCAAAGCTATGTCAAAAAACAATCCACGGTCAATAATCAACAACAAGCAAATGTACAAATTGAGAAACAAGGTATTTGAACAGATAGTGTTCAAGAGAGGGTGCAACATAAAGAGAAATATCCACAGAAGATACTGTTTAACCATAGGAAGATAATTACTTCAGACTAAAAATAGAATGTTGATATATTAAGCGAGGTAAATTTCAATGGAAATCAATAAGTATATCTACGAGCAACGACGAGGGTAACAAAATATAAACCTATACTACTTACTAGCAATAAGTAGTATAAAGTTAAACACTAAAGAAAGTACCGAAGGATTGATAAGACCATCACAGGTTGGGTATCAGTCGAAGTCAGTCAAACAACCACTGGAAAACCCCAGAGTACTAGACAGCCATCTCTTCCTAGCCCGGGACTCTTCATCAGAACGTGCTCACTGGGGTCTGGACCCAAGATATTCTGGTTACAAGGTGAGCTCGTAGACCACTCAGCCACTGTCACACGATGTATTAGCCTATGAAATCCATCCTCTGTCAATTCGTGATAATATATAGCGCAACCACCAGTCAGTCTCATAGGAAAATAATTAGCTGTAGCATAGTTAAAATGTTTAAAGTTGTGATATAACGGAAGGGCACCTCAGTGGTATTTATTATTTCCTACCAACTTAAAGGTTACATGTTTAAATTTTCACTTAAGTGTCCAAATGGTGGTTGAAGTCAATAAGTCTAATACAAAGATTATTCGTGGGCATCCTAATGATGTCATATTCAGTGGAAAGCAATTTTGAAGGGGAATGAGTGATTGACATAGCAGAAACTAAAATTATTCCATCAGTTCTTTGAATTTACAAAGTTTTATAGTATCCTTATCTTCTCTTTATTTTGAAGGATATAACAGTCATATGACGTTTTCTTTTTTTAACTAAAAGAAGTAGATTGTCATAAAAAATCTTGATATTGTACTCAATAAGAAGGCAACAGTTGATGATATCTTATCGTGATACAAAACCCTGCATAAGAACAAAGGTTAGAAATGATTAACCTAAAGACGGTTGTATTTACCATTATTGAACTGATGCTGATCACTAATGCCTTTGTCATTAGAGATTTTAAGTAGATATTAGTGAATTTACGATGGGCTTTTTAAGTGACTGTGCGTCAGTGATTCAGTGGTAGAACTCTCACCAAACATGCACGTTGTCCGGGATTCGATACCCAGTCGACACACTCCTAAACCTCACTAAGTCGGTAGTAAGGTGGCCGGCAAAGAGAGAAGGTTGGATTCGAGACTTCATCCCGTAAAAATAAAAAATCACTACTATCGAAACTTCGAAGCCCACATGTTCCACTCGGAACGTAAAGGAATAAAATAAATAAAGAATGATAAGTTTCTTAATTGCCTGATGATGCTATTTAGCGCTTTTGAGCTGCAGTGTTTGTAAATGCTATTACTACACTATACAGTATCGCTATGGAATGATTGTTACAATGTCTGTCATTCTTTAGCTTTCCTACAGCTCTGTTTATTTTCAGTTAACAATGCTGACCGACCCAAGCCTTTTTCCGATCACAATAATTGCCGTACTTCTGACGAAAAAATCACTCAACTCGTGATGCTGATTCACACTAGCAACTTTAAGCTTATATCTATAGATAGAAACTGCTTTTAATTCAACAGTCATGTTTTTTGTTTGCAGTGTAGGAGAAAGCCGAATTTTGCATAATTCCCTCGTCATTTGATGGGTAGTGTTGTTTAAATATTTTAAAAATCGACATTTTACCGCCAAAATAAATTCAAATGTGGTTAGATACTCTAGAAGTAAAATGTGACACGTATTAACTACATGTATTTACATCTTTAATCAGTTGAATGATATTTCATCACTCAGTTTAATGTCATCATATACGTTGCATTCTGTTTGTTGTTTTTTCTTTCTAACTGTGAACAGATCAATTGATAAATGGCAGTCAATACAATCGGACAAAGTCATTCAGTCCTAATGTAGATGAATCGATTAAACCACAATTGCCAACCAGATCTAAAAAGTCTTCACAATGCACATCATTAGTTAAACGAAATGAATTCAATTCAGAAGATGTATTATGCATTGAAAATAATAGAAATATCAATATTAACAGTAATAATAATAATGGTAACCATAGCAACAGCAATGACCATCGTATAAATAATCACTTAGATAAAGAACAATATTCTCGTTTAACTGTTAGTTCTCGATGGAATTATCTTTTTATAAAATTATTCAGTTGGTTTCAACGTATACAAAAGTCACACAGTTCACAAGTATCTTCACCTGATTGTACATCTACGCTAGTAAATAATAATAATAATAACAATAATAATAATAATCAATGTCATTCAAGTATTCACCAACATCGAATACGAAAAAGTGGACACATCAGATCACAAAGTCAACCAACACAAAAGTTGAATAAATTAAAATCGAATTTACACTCTGAAGGTTATTTCAATAATCAGAAAAGAATACCGTTGAATGGAATGACTAGTTTAAGTCGAAATGCTTCTTTGTAGGTTGATTGTTTTTTCTTTTTTCATTATTTTGTTAAAAAAAATGTTTTCTATCCACTTACGTTGTTAGTGTAATATAGGAACTTCAAGCTTTTGAAGTCTGCCCTTTCCGGAGTTACTACTTACTAGTTTGTAAACTAAGCGAGGTTTAAGCGAAGTGCATCGGTTGAGAATCGAACCTGGATGTTTTGGGTGTGGCTGTCGTCGAGCATTCTACTATTGAAGCATCAACTCACTTTTTTTCCATGGTTGGATCCACCTCACTTGTTTGGGAAGCTGCATCAACCCTGATCGACTGATTTCCAACAAAATCTCAGCACTCATACAAAATACTCGTGTGGCATATGCCGAACGACGACGTCATCTGTCTCATGGATGTGATATCCTGCTGTCGATCAAAGATGTGTACTGCACAGTACTTCTCTCTCTATCCCTCTTTAGGGCAGCCGAAAATGCGATCCTTGGAAAATTCAGTTGTCTGTGATAATGGGTGTTTGAGCTATCTCTTGTGTTAGATGATGATATTATATGATGAGTATGAGGTTAGGCATAGAATGTCAGAGTGAAAGTGATGTAGTATAGGATTTCTTAGTGGTAAATAAATGACGATTCAGTCTCTCAACATGAGAAAATCGTTTACAATGCAGTATTTTAAGCTGCCAGTCAGTGGTTCCATCTACCATCAACTGACGACGAAACGTATAGCCCTGTATAAATTGGACCTGCAGAATGGTCGTTGCACACATCGCTGAACATGTTTATATCAGAGTTTGTGTTTGGAACTGGCAACACTGCAGTTCATTAAGTGATTTGTTTTAATATAGGCAAGACTTGACAAATCTTCTGATGTAACTGTAGGAGACAAGAGACTTCGGTATCTTTATGTTGCGAAATTATGTACACCTTATCTGCAAGCCATCATTTGCACAGATCTTCCGTGTTGTACTACTTCTGTCCTTCGTATTGTGTTTCTTTGTCTTCTGTTGGTGTCTCCTATGTTTAGCTTCAACGCTGAATCATTTGTTGTCTTTGACGTAAAATATCTCTCTCTCTGCTATTTGTTATTTTTTATGCCGATGACGTCTCTTTATATAAATACTACTGATAAACCTTATCAGCAGTACACGCGACATTGACACCATAATGCGAAAGCAGCTAGTAAGCGTTTAATGTTCATAGTAAATGTGACAACTTTTTTACTTCATTCATATACATGAGTAAACATTGATGATTAGACATCTGAATAAAATCAGTATAGGATAATGTACATTCAGAAATAATAATACGAGTGTTATTGATCAAATACAATCAGATGGGAAGTAAGACGAGTGTTTTTATAGTCAAAATAAGTAACTTGTTATAATGTATGTGAATTGAAATAGAATTTTAAGATCATTGATTATCCTCCTCTGATTTGACTGACTGGCGGTAATAATATCTTCCATATTTCTGTTATTTGCATTGAGTCATTTCTGTTACATGTATTGGGTGTAGACTGGATGAATCAGGATTCAGTAATCAACCTTTCTCTATGTCCATCTACCTATATTACTTCTTAGAATCTTAATCTTCTCCTACCCTACCGTGTGGTTGTGTGTTAATGCATGCATTGCAATTGCTGAGCTTTTTTCTAAATTACTTATCTTCTCGGGGTCAACTATTCTTACCTTAGCTAAATTCTTATGTTCTGACAATCTGACTACCCCCGACCTAATAGTTTGCCCTATGTAGTTGACCTCACAATCATTGCAGGGTATTTTGTAAATTATATTTATTTGTCTAATTGCCTCAACTGGGTCCTTTAACCTACAGAGCTTGTCCCTGAGTGAGTTTGTAGGTTTGAATGCCACCCTAATTCCTGCTTTATTGAGAATCCTACGTAGGATGTGAGGTGTCCCCATCTTATATGGTATAACAGTAGATGCCTTATATTCTCTACACCAAACACATCTAACAGAAATGACTCAATGCAAATACCAGATATATGGAAGATATTATTACCACCAGTCAGTCAAATCAGAAGAGGCTAATAAATAATCTTAAAATTCTATTTCAATTCACATACATTCTAACAAGTTACTTATTTTGACTACAAAAACACTCGTCTTATTTCCCATCTAATTGTAATGGATTAATAACACTCGTACTATTATTTCTGAATGTACATTATCTCATATTGAATTTTATTCCAATATCTAATCGATTCCACACATGTATATAAATGAAGGAAAGAAGTTGTGTGAGTAACTTGATATGATTATGAGTGGCAATAGTTTGTGCTCGAAACGTCATCAGTTAATATAACTGTACTACACTGTGTGATTTATCAAAATAAATTCTTATCCATTATGGAATTATACTCTACCACAGTGCCCAAGTTTTATACTTATTTCATAGTAAATGTTTGTACTGATTATGAAATATGATAAGATTTGGAGCCTTTAAATGCATGTCACTACTGATCTGAATTCTATCGATTTGCACTCTGGAAATGAGCCTGTACCAACCTGATTTTTTTTATTCCTTCACGTTCCCAGTGGAACATAGGGCTTCAAGCTAAGAGACTTGAAGTTTCTGTAGCAGTATTTATTTCTAAAGGACGGGGTTGCTAACCTCATACCCAACCTTCCCTCTTTACCAACTTTATTTCTGGCTTAGCGAGGTCACGGAGTGCGTCGGCCGTTAATCGAACCCCGGACCATGTGCATGGTCGGCGAGCGTCCTAACCACTGTGCCACCGACTCACCGACATACCAACCTGATACTTTTCTGATTTTCCCTTTGTGCATACCACTCTGTGTTAAACACAGGTGAACTTTTATTGATTTAACTATTTTCTTTTTGCCTACATTTTTCAGATCTGACTTTGAGCAAATAAATAATTTTCAATGCATGGAGCTACACAACGTTTTTACGCCGTCACATCCGCATTTATCAACTTCATTACTGTCTGACGAGAAATCAGCAGATAGTTTAACCAGCTTCTGTCAAATTGATCAATGTCCTATTGTCTTTAATAATACATTAACCACCAATTCGAATAATAATGGTAATAATAATATGTGTAGTAATAATGATTGTGTGAGGAATAATACATCGTTCACCTGCAACAAAAAATATCCTTGTTCATGTACACTGTTGTCTTCCAAAGATTTAATAACCCCTAATGCTGATGAAGTACACAATACCTGTTCCATAGACAATGACTTGAATTGCTTTTGTAGTCATAGTTGTCCAATTACTTCTCGAATGAATGATATTCGTCTTGACAGTCAAATTCCATCTTCATCATGTATGTCTGAGTGTTTTTGTACAAATTGTCTTAGTTATTGTGATCACTGTTGTACAGTGTCGTCTCCGTTGAATAATAATAAATGTGAAGATGAACACGTTGTCCAGTGTTATCCTTATCCTCATCCTCTTCTTCATCATAACCATCATCATCATTATCACCATGTTACGTCACATCAACAGCATTATCATCATTATTACTCCTGTCATCATCACCATTATCATCATCATCATAATCACCGACATTTATACCATAGAACTGGTCAAAACAACGACAATATACCTCAACACTGTAACAATTCATCACATACTGAAACTATCCAGCATCATCATCATCATCCCCATCATTGTACAAATTGTCGTACCCAGAAGAAGAAGAAAGCAGTTAGAAATTTTCATTTAAACTTAGAAAGTCAATACGCTACTATTGGTCGACTTGATCAAGTTAGACCGAATCATCAATCCTGTAGCAAAAATGCCTCACCATCATCATCTGAACAAACTGATTGTTGTTCATCACCTGTCATCACTTTACACTGCTTGATGAATACACTAACAACAACGACGACGACAGCGACAGGGACAACAACAATCAAACGGTTGGATAGATGCAATGATACTAGAAGTTTAGCTGTGAAAAGTTCAACAGATTGTAATAATTATTCAGCTAACAAATGTGTTCCAAGCAACTTATTATTATTGACTGATGAAAACCAGCGTGAAGAGTTAATGGATAATTCCAGTGAGAGTGATCCAGCAAAGTCATTGAAGGTTATACCGGCGAAACCGTCTGCTAGTGTTGTTGATAATGATGATGGTGATGATAAGAAGTCTTCTGGCAGTCAACAACAGATAAAATCGAAGAATGATCCTGAACTGATTAACCGAAAATTTGTCAATGATTTAATGCATTTAAAGCGTGTAAGTTATGCATTAACAATATGTATGTTGTAAAGATCCCAACTGAATTATTTTGTTGTATTGCCATAATTTACTTTAGTGATGTGATGGTAGCTTTATAGCGTTTTGTTATTTCATGTATAATAGTTGTGATAGTGTGTTGAAAACCCCGTTACATAATTCTTTGTATTTTAAATCTCATAGTCCATATAGTTTTCACATAAAATAATAATCTTTCAGAAACCGTGAAAAGTTGTCCTCAAAAGGGTGTCAGATATATTTATGTGAAATCATCTGCACAATCTAATCTATATATAATATCCAGCGTCCATTTTTCTCGTTTAGGCTTGAGCTCATCACAGATGAGTCCGGAGTGACTAAACTTAAACCGCCCGAATTCCGGTCAGCTATTTTCAGCGAATAGAAGGAACCTGAAAGAAACAACCTCCTTTACCCACCTGCGAAGCATCGTTTCAACTACAGGTGGAACTGACGAGGATATCAAAGCAAGAATAGGAAAAGCAAGACAAGCTTTCACTACTCTCAAGTCTGTGTGGAGGTCAACAACTCTCAGCATGAAAAGTAAGACCCGGATTTTCAACTCCAATGTGAAGTCAGTGCTACTATACGGATCAGAGACTTGGCAAGCGCGTCATAAAGAGCATCTCAAACAAACTACAGACCTTCATTAACAGTTGTCTTCGCTCAATACTCAAGATCAGATGGCTGGCCAGAAAAGATCAGCAACAGGGATCTCTGTGAGCGAACCAACTCAGCAGGAACCGATTGTGAAACAAATAGGCAGGGAGAAATGGAGATGGATTGGCTGGCCATACTCTGAGGAAACCATCAAGTGACATCACTAGAAAAGCCATTGCTCGAGTGGAACCCGAAAGGGAAGCGGCGAGTTGGTCGTCAGTGCGAAGGTGGGGTGACTTGGAGGAGGTGATGTGAAGAGGAGATGAAAACGTGTGGGCAGACTTGGAGTTAGGTGAAGACTGTAGCAGAGAACCGAACGCAATGGAGACGCACGGCTGAAGCCCTTTGTTCCTCTAGGAATTAAAGGAAACAATAGTAATATTATAATAATTTTCAGCGAATGAAATTTTTCCTTTGCATATAACATGATCTGAGGTGAAGTTTAACCACGATTTCCTATTTAAATCCAAAAAATATTTCAATCACAACATGTGACCCAATTATCTTTCGATGAAACTCTGCGAATTGAACCGATTATCGAGTTATTCGTTTTTTGAAACATTTCGTAAGTTGACGTGTCCAAAAGAAAATAATGAGTTTGATATCCTATCATGAAAGATTATGTGAATGTAAGTATAAAACTTGGGCAGTGGTGTAGAGTATAACTCCATTATGGACAAGATTTTATTTTGATAAATCACACAGTGTTACACAGTAATATTAACTGATGACCACGTTTCGAGCACAAACTATTTCTCATAATCATATGAAGTCAGTCACACAACTTTTTTACTTCATTTATATACATGAGTAAACATTGATGATTAGACATCTGAATAAAATCAATATAAGATAATGTACATTCAGAAATAATAATATGAGTGCTATTGATCAAATACAATCAGATGGGAAATAAGACGAGTGTTTTTATAGTCAAAATAAGTAACTTGTCAGAATGTTATGATGTATGTGAGTTGAAAAAGAATTTTAAGATTATTTATTATCCTCCTTTGATTTGACCGACTGGTGGTAATAATATCTTCCATATTTCTGGTATTTGCATTGAGTCATTTCTATTACATGTGTTGGGTGTAGACTCAATGAACCAGGACTCGATAATCAATCTCTCTCTCCACCTACTTATATTACTTCTTAGAATTTTAACCCTCTCCCACCCTATTGTGTGGTTGTGTGTCAATGCATGCAGTGCAATTGCTGAACTTTTTTCTAAATTACTTATCTTCTCGGGGTCAACCTTTCTTCCCTTAGCTAAATTCTTATGTTCTGACACTCTGACTACCCCCGACCTACTAGTTTGCCCTGTGTAGTTGACCTCACAATTGTTGCAAGGTATTTTGTAAATTACATTATTTTGTTTAATTTGGTTCTCTGGGTCTTTTAGCCTACAGAGTTTGTCCTACCTGAGTGAGTTTGTAGGTTTGAATTCCACCCTAATTCCTGCTTTATTAAGAATCCTACGTAGAGTCTCAGATGTCCCCTTCTTATATGGTAGAACAGTAGATGCCTTATATTCTCTACACCAAACACATCTAACAGAAATGACTCGATGCAAATACCAGAAATATGGAAGATATTATTACCACCAGTCAGTCAAATCAGAGGAGGATAATCAATAATCTTAAAATTCTATTTCAATTCACATACATTACAACATTCTAACAAGTTACTTATTTTGACTAAAAAAACACTCGTCTTATTTTCCATCTGATTGTAATTGATCAATAACACTCATATTATATATAAATGAAGGCGAAAAGTTGTGTGAGTGACTTGATACGATTATGAGTGGCAATAGTTTGTGCTCGAAACATGGTCACCAGTTAATATTACTGTATAACAACACTGTGTGATTTATCAAAATAAAATCTTATCCATAATGGAATTATGTGAATAGTTTGCTTCTGCACATCTTCATGTTTATCTCGGAGTGTCTCTCGAAAAGAAATATTTAACTAATCTTGATCTAGAATATAGGCCGGCTTTTTTCTAATTGGATACCTTTTGTAGATTAAGATATCATCTACCTCCAGTACTGTTAAATATAAAAAAACGTATGAAGATTTAAATCGCACTGATAATTTCTCCCCGACAATTGCTTTTATCGATTCTCTGATGAAATATTTTTGGAATTTGTTACTAACTGACAATTTTAATGGAACGAAAAACAAACATTTGTACTTACTGAGTAATGAACAGAAGAGAAAAAAGTAGCAAAGTAACAGGTGTTTGGTACTTTCAGGATATATATATATATGTGCGTGTGTGTGTGCATGTGATATTTGACGAAGATTGCGCAAGTAACATGTTTCGTATGCAGTTTTATTTGCTTGACAGTTGGAATTCATTCACAGACAAAATATGTGTCTCATTATCTTTATATTTCGCGGATGATTTATGTTTAATGTCACACAAAATCGAAGACTTACAAGCGAAAACTGATAAACTGGTCAAAGAAGCAGCAAAGACAGGACTCCAGGTGAACATAGACAAGACGGAGGTTATGAAAATAACCAACCAACCAACCGATAACAACAGCAGCAGCAACATTCAGTGCCAATCACCATCAACGGGAGGGATTTGAAAGAGGTTACTTCATTCACTTATCTAGGGAGCATTGTCTCAACTACAGGAGGAACGGAGGAGGATGTCAAATCGAGAATCGGGAAGGCGAGAAACACATTCAACAGCCTGAAACCAATCTGGAAATCTTCGTCACTCAACTCAGCATCAACAACAAAATTCGGATTTTCAATACAAACGACGTCAAGTCAGTCAGTTCTTCTATACGGATCAGAAACCTGGCCAGTGTGTCACAAAGAATATTTCCAACAGCCTGTTGCAGACCTTTATCAACAACCGTCTACGTTCTATACTCAAGATCAGATGGCCAGAAGGAATCATCAACAAGAAACTAATGGGAACAAACGAAACAAGAACTAATCGCCCAACAAATATGCAGGAGAAAGTGGAGATGGATTGGACACTCGCTGAGGAGGCCACTGGGTGACATCGCGCGTCAGGCGATAGCTCGAGTGGAACCCGAAAGGGAAGTGGCGAGTGGTTCGTCGGTGCAAGGGTGACATGGAGGAGATCGTATGAAGAGGAGTTGAAACAGTATGGACTAACATGGATGCAGGTGAAAAATACAGCGAAAGACAGAAGCAAGTGGAGATGTGCAGGAACCCAAGGGAACATTAATAATAAATAATAATTATCTTTATGATCTTTTGCATTTAGAAAACTGAGGTACTAGTTGCATTAAATTTTAATTCAATCGTACATTCATTCTGCTATGACTCGCTGATTCTATCACTGCGTAAAAATTAGCATTTTGGCTTCGAGCAGGACATATGATGTTTTCTTTTTTACGAAATTGGAAACAAACTACGCATTTGTGAATTACACAGTTCAGAGTTAAAATTCACCACAATTTCTTTTGGGAATACTATATATTGGGATTAAAATATTTGGTATGCTCGATTTTAACAACAAAGTTTCTCTACTCGTGATCTAATTGCCTACATAGACTTGCAACATTCGATATTTTCCTCTCAGTCGCTCACATACTATTCATATCTTGTTGTAAGTAGTATGAGTAAATCAATGGATAAATTATTTACATCGCATTTTAAAATATCATTATATGGTAATATATTGATTTTCTTTTCTTTTTTATAATAAGACTGGTTGGTACTGGGGTCCACTATCAGTGGAGGAAGCTGAGTTACTTTTAAAAAACTGCTCGAATGGTACTTTTCTTGTACGTGACAGTAGTCATGATTCATATATGCTAAGTGTCAGTTTCCGTGCCGGTGGTCAAACTTATCATACGAGAATAGAACATCTAGCTGGTAAGATTTTTGATAATATGAGTTATTAATTCCTCTGATCAATCTCTATTTTTTCAGAGTATAGCATAGTTTAACTGATAGGATTAACTTGCAAGACTTTTTATTTCCTTGATTTCTGAAAATTAACTATAGTGTATTGTCGCTACATATAATTCAGTTTTAGATTTTTCCGTCGATTGATTGGACCAAAATGCTCGGTCTCAAGTTGACATGTCGGCTCCTTGTGCGGATGCTTCGACGATATCTGGGCATGGGACTCGAAGTTAATTGGTGGATGGTGACCTAGCAGTGGAATCCACAAGATGACTTTAACTAGCTAACAGCTTGCAAAAATTAAAATGCCTATCAACAAGAATAACTGTCAGTTAGTTGAGTGGGAAGGCAGATACCACTAACCCCTCTTATGGCCTTCAATTTTTGATGTGATATGACACAGTTGGTTTTTTCTTTGTTTTTTGAGAAGCCCAAGGAAGAATAAAAGGGAATAGTAAAGAAGAATAGGCAGAATAGACGAATTAACAAATTGCAAGAGAAGAGGTTAAGTTATACCAGAAAGTCCCAGCTTCCGTTATGTAATAAGTCAAACGAAAAATTATTATTATTATTTTTCCTTTGGGTTTCTAGTGGACCATACGGCTTCAGCTACACGTCTCCACTTGCTTCTGTCTTCTACTGTACTTTTCACCTGCATCCATGTTAGTCCATACTGTTTCAACTCCTCTTCATACGATCTCCTCCATTTCACCCTTGGACGTCCCACTCGCCGCTTCCCTTTCGGGTTCCACTCGAGTTATGGCCTGACTCGCGATGTCACCCAGTGGCCTCCTCAGCGAGTGTCCAATCCATCTCCACTTTCTCCTGCATATTTGTTGAGCGATTGGTTCTTGTTTTGTTTGTTCCCATTAGTTTCTTGTTGGTGATTCTTTCAAGCCATCTGATCTTGATTATAGAACGAAGACAGTTGTTGATAAAGGTCTGCAACAGGCTGTTGGAAATATTCTTTGTGACACACTGGCCAGGTTTCTGATCCGTATAGAAGAACTGACTGACTTGACGTCGTTTGTATTGAAAATCCGAATTTTGTTGTCGATGCTGAGTGACAAACGGAAAATAATTCTTAGTAATCAAAATGATATGAGACGTCCAATAAAAAGATTTGAGGAGAAACTGATGCCAAGATAGAAGATATTCGATGTAATCCTTATCATCACACAGTACCGCTGATAATACAGAAATCATAGGACTGAATCATCCACGCAAGTCTTGTTCACCACCGATATCTGTACTATCTACCAGGAATTATTTAAAGGATATTCATCAACGTTAGACATACAAGCGAAGAGGAGATAACAGAACTGTAGTCAACTTTGTACTGTTACAGATTATACTGTTACGTTGATTAGATATGAGATCATCAGAAGGAAAGAAATGCAAAGAATCAGTTGTTGTTTTTTCAATAGATTTAAAATTGCTGAAGTTAGTTTTGTTTAGAAGACGAAGATTGCAGTTGCGAAATTTTTACCGGCCTTTGATAAGTCATTTACAAAGAAACCCTTAAACGTTTGTATGCAAATTAGCTAAAGACTAAAATACTTACTGTATATATATGAGAGGCAATAGAACTTTTTGTATCGAATAAAGAGAGGGATAAATGGGATAGAAATGACTAAAAATCTGTTTTACAAGTGTGTAGGGATGTCCAACATTTCTAAAGCAAACGATTAGATGACGCGGGGGGGGGGTACTGGGGCGGAAGAATATCAGAAGTCTAGCTGAAATCACAGTTGTCAAGTCAGAATAAATATTTAGCCTTAAAAATCATCCAGTAAATAACACTCTTTCACTATTTGATACATGCGTAATAATGGAAATGTAACGGAATTAAGGATGACGTTTATTATTGCATGTTTACTGGATGTTAACAGCTTTAGAGACTGTTTTGGTTTATGGTAAAATGTGTTCTTACTTAAAGATAAAGTATATCCAATACTTCAATAGGAATGTTACTAATATTATTTTGTATCGTTTTAAGTGAAAAGAGAGTATTTTTTTAAAGCTAAGTAAAGCATTATTTGATATAAACGATTCCCTTGATTAGTTTAAACAAAGGAAGAACGAAAATATCTCTTCAGGATAATGTGAGCTCGTGTTATTTTGTGGATTCTTGTCAACTCCATAAAGCCTAAACAATATAAGAATATAGGGTCTGTCTCAACATGCTTTTATCACAGTGACGTCAAGTTATGCATAGAAAGTATTATTATTATTGTTTCCTTTAATTCCTAGAGGAACATAGGGCTTCAGCCGTGCGTCTCCATTGCGTTCGGTTCTCTGCTAGAGTCTTCACCTGGCTCCAAGTCTGCCCACACGTTTTCATCTCCTCTTCACATGACCTCCTCCAAGTCACCCTCGCACTGACGAACAACTCGCCGCTTCCCTTTCGGGTTCCACTCGAGCAATGGCTTGTCTAGTGATGTCACTTGATGGTTTCCTCAGAGAATGGCCAATCCATCTCCATTTCTTCCTCCCTATTTGTTTCACAATCGGTTCCTGGTTGGTTCGCTCATTGCCAGAGATCTCTGTTGCTGATCTTTTCTGGCTGGTCATCTGATCTTGATTGGTATTGAGCGAAGACAACTGTTAATGAAGGTCTGTAGTTTGTTTGAGATGCTCTTTATGACACGCAGTGCAAGTCTGCGCGCTGTGCACTGTATTCACATTTGAGTTGAAAATCCGGATCTTATCTTCGTTTTGATGCTGAGTGCTGTTGACCTCCACACAGACTTGAGAGTAGTGAAAACTTAGAAAGTGTAAGCAATATAATCCTGAAGTGATGTAAGTAGTTTGTAGGAATTTGATGTGTTACAAATTTTTGATCAAGAATTAATGTCAGTCAGAGAATCATCGGAAACCCGAGGAGTACTGGAAAGCTGTTTCGTTGTAGTTCAGGACTCGTTGGCATTAAACACCCACTGGGTTACGAATCCAGGACCTAACGGTTACAAGAGAAGCTGGTAGACCATTTACAGCCACAGGGATCCCACTCAATGAACCGTGAATTCTGAATTCTACCAATATTTATAGTCTAATTAGACAAGAGGTGAGAGCAAAGTTCACATTTTGTGTAGGAACAAGAACAGAATGAATTTATACATAATATGACAGAATAATGTTGCTTATGCTTTCTGTCGATAACTGAACGCCACTGTGTTCCCATTTTTTGTAACGTATATTTTGATACTGTTTAGGTTCTATTCACTTAGCAAAAGTCAAAAAAATACAAATTGATCCATATTATCGTGCTATTATGATAGTTCATTCTTCGTCAATTATACCATTATTTGTTCAAGTTAATTTTGTATTCACCGTCGATTCGCTTACGTTGAACTGAAGTGTCCTTTTCCAGTTAACATATCGACTCTTAGTACGGACCCTTTGAAGATTTCTGAAGATTAGTGGTGACTAGCAGTGTGTTGTTGTTGACCTGCGATTAGGACAGATTAGCCAGCGCATTCAGTTAGATTCGTTCGTAGTCTACAAGGTCATAATATTCATACATAACAAATTTGGCGACGGGTTTGCTCAAGATGGACCCACTGCGTTTAGAGAAACTAATGGAACAGCAGCTAAAAATGATGGAAATGCTTGCTGGTCTGCAGATATCACGCCCTACCGATTCATCTACAGCCAACAACAGCATTGGTAGTAGCATCTCAGAATTCGTTTATGATCCAGATGCGAACGTGACTTTCGATACCTGGTTTCGCAGATATGAAGACCTATTTCGAGTAAACTTTGTGGATAAAGATGATGCCTGGAAAGTACGGCGGTTTCTACTTCGTAAATTGGGAGCAGATGAGCTAGATAAATATTGCAACTTAATTCTCCCACAGAAGCCCAGCGAAAGATCATTCGATGAAACTGTCCATACCCTTCGTCATCAGTTTGGTGATCAGAGATCTTTATTCAACATTCGATATCATTGCATGAAACTAGTTCTGAACGAAAATGATGATATCCATACTCAGTTGGGTATAGTCAATCGCACGTGTGAACGTTTTAAATTGAAATCGCTCTCAGAAGACCAGTTCAAGGTATTGATTTTCACTTGTGGTTTGCAGTCTCCCAAGTTTGCTGACATACGCACACGCCTATTAAATCGTCTGGAACAAGATCCACGAATGACTTTGAAAGACGTCGGTGAAGAATACCAGCCTTTAATCAACATTCATAACGATACCGTCCTGTTGCAGTCTGGCAGCCAAAATGCAGCAGAAGTGCATGCGGTGCATCCAGCACCGTCGACATCAACCGCACCGCTTCATCCTCAGCATAAACCACCATCAGCCTGCTGGCATTGTGGTTGGCTCCTGGCATTTTGGAAACTTGTGCCCATTCAAACAGCATAAATGCCGTCGATGCCATACTGTTGGTCACAAAGATGGCTGCTGCAAACGCAACAACCAACCCAGATCTCGTAGTCAACCCAGACGGCGCCACATGCCCAAGTCTTTGAGCGTTACTGCCACATATCATATTAGTACTCCGGCACCTCACAAATATATCGATCTGACGATTAATACACGGTCGGCACGCCTACAAATCGACACAGCATCCGATATTACAATAATATCAAAGAAATTATGGCAGAAGTTGGGATACCCTGCCATAGAGAAGACAAATCAGATAGCATTTAGTGCATGTGGTGGAAGACTTCTATTCAATGGAAAAATAAAATGCAGCGTTGGTTTTCGCAATAGTCATTTCGTCGGCACATGCTACGTCAATAATTCAAACCACAACCTCTGGGGTTAAGACTGGTTCGAGAAGCTGCACCTATCAGAGATTCCGTTGAACAGTGTATGCAACAAGATCGAAAGTATCCAGCCCTCAACAATAAAGCCAGAAATAAGAGACAGATATATTAGACCTAAACCCATTATAAAGAATGACGTGATTAATGAAACACCAACTTCGATTCGTCATAGTGAGTATGGCTG